TTTCATATTCTTTTTCATTATAAATTACTACAAGATATTGAATATTGAACCCAGAGGTCTTGAACCTTCATTTTTCCTTACGTATTTGTGCAGATTCAAGTCCTATTAATGCTGCTCTTAAAAGTGTCCTGAATCTACCTACATCTTTCCCTCCCTGCTCAGTGATGCTATACTGATCCCTGTCACCATCATCTCTATTAATCCAGCTGCTTCCTAATTAATCTCTCTGCCTCCATTCTTATCCACTGCTAATCCAGTCTCCTCACAGCACCCAGCAGGACCTTTCCCGTAGCTGCCCTGCTTTCCTGTGTTATAGAAGACAAATCCCGTAATTTAATCTGCAAAACCCTTCTTAAGTTGGTTTTATTTCCATGCCTGCTTGAAATCTCATCACCAAAGCAGTGACTGCCGTAATGGTCTTGCAAAATCTTACTATAAAACTAATACAAATTCATTATAAGAAATTTGAGAAATTAAGAAAGAACAAAGGAAAAAACCCCACAGATCCTCTTTCTCATTTTGGTTTTGCTCTCTGATTTTTTAATACATATATATACATAGGTGTAATCAAATTGAATATGTGGCTTTGTTTATGGGGATTTTTTTTGTTTTGATTTTTAAAAGCATGCATAAATACATGCTTGTTGTTTTTTTAAAAAATACAAAGTAGCAGGTCCCGTTCATACATGATAGCCCCATGTTTCTGCCAGACTCCCCAGTCCATTCCCTTCTTCATGTCTGTGAGTGGAAATGCATAGATATTTTATTCAACTTTTTTCAGTAGCATTACATCAAGCATTTTCTCGTAACGTTAAAGATATGTTGTAAACTTCATTTTAACAGTGACATATTAATAGTGATAGTAGTAACTAGCATGTGTTGAGTAACTAGTCTGGGCCCAGCACACAGCTGCTAATCTCACACAATCCCCGTTTGACTGATGAGGGAGCTGTACGACTGGGAAGATGTCTGTCAGCTCAAATACCTGTCTCTCTTGTGGATGCCTGAGTATATGTGCATGTGACGGTTAATCATTAACCAGCCTTCCCTCATCACTGGACATTTATGGCTTCTTGCTTTTCAGTATTATAAATGATGTAGCTACTATTACTGTGTTAATCTGTGTCTGCATTTCAAATTATTTTCTAACGAAGTTTACTAGAAGACATTATTTTTAAAGTTTTTGACGCATAAGGTCGATTGCCTTGAAAGCAATTTACAGAGAGTGATTAATTCTTTTTTTTTTTAATAGACTGTATTTTTTAGAACAGGTTCAGGTTCACAGCAGAATTGAGCAGAAAATACAGAGAGTTCGCACACAGCCCTCCCCACCCACACATACATGCTCCCCTACCCTCAGCATCCCTCGTCCGTGTGGCATGTTTGGTACAATCGATGAACCAACATGGGCACATTATTGTCAACCAAAGTCCGTAGTTTACATCAGGGTTCACTCTTGAGGTTGTGCATTCTGTGGGCTTTGACAAATGCAGAATGACATTTAGCCACCACTGTAGTGTCATACAGAATAATTTCATTGCCCTAAAAATCCCTTGTGCTCCATCTATTCATTCCTCCCTCCCTCCCTCTCCCGAAACCCCTGGAAACCACGATCTTTTTATTGCTTTTGTAGCTGTGCCTTTTCCAGAATGTCATTTGGTTGGAATCATAGTTTGTAGCTTTTTCAGACTGGCTTCTTTCATTTAGTAATACGTCTTTTAAGTTTCTTCCATGTCTTTCATGGCTTGATAGCTTATTCTTTTTTTTTTACTGCACATATTTTTTTTAATTTGCATGTATGTGCTGATCATTGATTAATTCTTTTTTAAAAATTTTAAAAAAATTTTGAAGGGGAGAGATAATTAGTTTTATTTGTTTTTATTCATTTATTTTTTTAATGGAAGTACTGGGGATTGAACCCAGGACCTTGTGCCTGCTAGGCAGGCACTCTACCACTGAACCATACGTTCCCCCATCCAGGGAGTAGTTAATTCTAATGGGAGGGAAAGGAGAGAAAGGGAGTGACCCTTCACAGAGGAGGCGACATTAGAGCTGGCTTGTGCAGAATGAGTAGGGCTCTGCCAGAATAAAGGCAGAGGGGCACGAGGGGGCCCTGGGCCGGCAGAGTCGGTCTGTTCCCTCTACTTATTGGCCACCAGAACCCCTCATCATTTAATTCTCTTGGAGTTGGCAGGGAAGAGAGTCAGAATAATCAAGGAGAAAGTTAAAATTCTAATATATAATTCTGCCGTATCATATATTTAGAAATCAGCTCAAATGAAGCTTTTTTGAAGTTCCGAGACATTCATGTTAGTCTAGATTTTTTGTTTTCCCCAAAGAGGGGACACATCCCCTGAGGACTGAGCATCACAGGAACACACGCAGCCTCTCTGGTCCCACTCATTTCCCTGAATTTAAAGGGACAAGAACAGCGCATTTGATGTTGTACCTAACGTGCAGAGGAGTCATTACCAACTATCCCAGTTGTGGGCAGTGAGGAGGACGTCATCACCTTCTTGCGTTTGATATGACTTCTATCTATTTGATAAAATGGATAAAATAACTAAAGTTTATTTTTAATGTGGGGCAGGTGCCAGACACTAGGGAGTCAGATTCCACCATGAGCAGAGCTGGAGCAGGACTTCAGCATTTATCTGAGCCTGGCATGTCTGCAGTTCCTTCTTTCCAGACTGGAGCAAATGCTGGAAGCCAAGGGGGTAAAAGGGAGCAGGGTGAGGGGATGAGTCAGAAGGCGCTGAGCAGAAGCCGGCCATTCCCGCCCCCCGGGCATGGCAGTGGAGGCTTCCACCTGCCGCTTCTCGCTCCTGCTGTCATCACAGCTGGAAACGCAGTTTGGCCAGTAGGCCATCTCGCGTTATATTTTGAAGAAGACAACTTACAAATTCTAAGTTATAAATGAAGTAATAAAATATTTCTCTAGTCTAGCTGGTATTTATGAAGTTTATAGAGTATGAATTCGACCATCATAAAACCTAACTATGAAACAGAAATTGACAGAATTAGGGGAACACATGAGTTACAGACTGTTTTCAAATAAACTGTGCCTTTCTACTTTGAAGGAAGTGTAGTAATAGGAATAGACAAAGTGATCAAGTAGGTGGTCTGTTGGACCAGATTTAATTGACAGCTATCATTAGCATTTTCGTCCGTCAGGATGGCTTTAGACATAAGCCCAACAAAGGTGCTGTAACCAGTCTCCCGACTGTTTCTTGTTCTGCACATGTCTCCTCGGAAAGGAGCCAGTGGGAAGTCTTCTTCCCTATTGCTGCCAGTGACATCGTAAGGAGACCAAAAGACTACTTCCCTCTTAAGGTTCTTGCAAGCTACTGATAAGATACTGTGTATAAAACTCGTAACACTGTGTAATCCCTCCTAATGATAGATGTGGAAGGAAGCGTTGTTATTTTTGTTTTTTTATTATTATTGTGGTTATTGTTATTATTTTATTATTATTATTATGGTTATTATTTTTATTATTTAGATTATCTTAACAGCTTTAGCATTTATTCCTGACTTGCTAGTCTCCTCCCTAATCCTAACAAAGGTAAAGGTAAGACTGGGAGATACTGTCTTAAATTCCATTTATCTGTCTATGTGAAATACGGAGAAAATGGGAAAGTGTGCCAGTGGACCTCAGTGCAGCTCTCCCCTCAGGGGGACCTGTCGTGCAATTAGAGCGTCATTCATAAGTGATGAACTTCATCTGAATGGGAAACTTACGCTCATTCAGGGCAACTTAATTGCTAAAAATTTCCGCATTAAGATGATGAAAATGACTGAGATCTTTACCAAAAGCTCTTACCAAGTTAAAAAAATTTTAATCAGATGCTAATGGAAGCCTGTGAGAAAGAAAGCCCTCAGTCTGCAACTTAACCTCTCTCCTTGGAAATGCTGTGTCCGCCTCCTGATTTCTTTAGATAACATTTGTAGCGCAAAACACAAAGTCACCTTGTTCAGACTGTCATTATTTGTCCTCTTCTCAAACAGCCATAGGTTTCAGAGTTTCACATCTGCTTTTCTTTTCTATTCCTAGTTCTGACCCTCTGTTTCTTCTCTAATAACACGCCCTTTCCTGCGCATTTATATAGAAGAAATATTTTTAAAATAGCACATTGAAAAGTATAAAGTTGTGTTATTAAGCTGCTTGCATAACTTATTTAAATGTTTTTAAATACCCAAAGCAACTGATCGTAAAAATAGTTTGTATTTTTCCCGGGGAATTACATCCGTGGAAATACAACGCGCAGTATGGTGACTGTGGTTACTAATGCGGTGTTGGGTATTTGAGAGTTGCTTAGAGAATAGATCTTAAAAGTTCTCATAAAAAATTTGTAACTATGCGTGGTGATGGATGTTAAATAGACATGATCACTTCACGATATATACAGATATTGAATCATTATGTTTTACACCTGAAACTAATACAGTGTTAACTGTCAGTTATATCTCAATTAAAAAAACAGCTTGCGTTTAGGGTAGGTTTTTTATTGCTACTACAGTTGCCTTGGTGAATACATTTTTATTTCTACTACTGATGAAGGTAATTTGTATTCAGTTTATAATAATTGTTAAGTTCTGTTCTGGAAGAAACACTGTAATATGTTATTCTTTCATAAAACTTTCTTTATTCCTCTTATTCTCAGTTCTCTTCATCTTTATAATGATTAAGACTTTTATCATTTCACTGTTTCTGTCCACTTAATTGTCACTTATCCACTGCTTGTCACTTAACTTTGCCCTTCAGTTTTCTCATGGGTTTCTGTCTTCCCTTCCCAGCTTTGCTGTAAGCTCCTTGAGAGATACTGCCTTGCAGCAGGGGTATCTTGTGCACTGAGTGTCCCAGGCTGTGCCACACATTGATTGATGAGAGTTATCACCAAAATCAATGAACTCATCTGTTTGTTCATGTTACACTGAGTATCTTTAATGCCACATCAAACAGAATAAATATCTGAAGTGTGCATCCACTTCTTCCCCAGGTTAATCAGCTTCACGGCATCCCCAAGCTCCTACAGCTCCTGAAGGTTCAGAATGAAGACGTCCAGCGAGCTGTGTGTGGAGCCTTGAGAAACTTGGTGTTTGAAGACAATGACAACAAATTGGAGGTAGCTGAACTCGGCGGAGTCCGTCAGCTGCTCCAGGTGCTGAAGCAAACCAGAGACTTGGAGACAAAGAAGCAAATAACAGGTAGTGTTTGCTGAGCGCCACGGGGGATGGCACAGTGCGTCTCAGCCAGATGCGTTATGTCGCCTGTTTTTCTTAAGTTTCCTGGAACAGACGATCCATGGGCTCGTTGTTACCTGAGGGCTGGCTTTCAAGGAACATTATCACTGCTGGCTTAGACCCGAGATTCAAGTCGAGTTCGAATTCCCTTTTTTTCCCAAAGGAGAAATTATTCTGAGGCTTTTGGTTAATTTTTTGTTGTCTTGGGGGGAGGGGGGAGTAATTAGGTCTATTTATTTATTTTAATGGAGGTGCTGGGAATTGAACCCAGGACCTTGTCCATGCTAGGCATGCGCTCTACCACTGAGCTATACCCTCCCCCCTAGTTAATATTAATTAGAAATTCTATGCGCCTTGCATCACCTGGACTCCCCCCAATACCAACTTCCTAGCTCACCAGCCTCTCTACCCCCGAAAAAAGAAGCAAAGCAGGACTGGGTATGTTTCTCAGTTCTCCACTTTATATTTCTGTTCAAATACTGATTTGAGCAAATAAATAAGTCCTTTCTGCCCATAGATTAGAAAAATAAAATAATAATCGGCTAGAACTAAAGCAGTGGTTTTAGTGGCCCTTGACGCATGGAGAAGGGAGACGCGGTTCCACTTAAACGAATAGTGCATGTGGCGGGGGAGACAAATGGTTCACTGAAAACGAAATGAAAATGGTTCCTCAGGTCTCCGTGGAAGCTCCCTGAACACACTACAAACAGCGCAAGAAGCATTCCCGAGAGTGGTCGTCAGTGGTGTTGCCTTGGGGACACTTTCATTAAGTAGCTTCGGTGTCCCCAGTGATAGATATTTTTAATTTATTATCATAAAAACCTTAGGTTCTGAGGTATTTTTAGGTGTTGCCCGGTGTTAAATCTCAGTTTTACAGATGAGGAAATTAAGGTTCAAAGAAGTTAACCCTTTATAATATATGAATTTGTTGTTGTTGTTGTTGTTTTATAATGGTAATAGTTACAGGGATGACACAGGAGAACGGAGCGCCGGAGGGTGGTTGCGTCCCAGGTCTCGGGCGCGTCCCTGGGATGCACCCCGCCGAGTGAGGGTCCTTGGCTTCACGCAGGGAGGAAGGCGAGAGTGAGCCACAGTTGACTGAAAGTAGATTTATGCAGAGAGAGATGCACGCTCCGTAGACAGAGTGCCGGCTGCCTCTGAAGGCAGGAGAGAGTGACAGGCCTGGAAGACACACATTCCACTGGCACCATGCGGGCCACCTCGCGAGGCGAGGGATGCCACGGGCTGCGGGGCGGTTAGTTTCTGTGGGCTCCGCGACTTCGTGTGCTAACCGGGCGGAGATTCTTCCAGCTACCTTGGGGAAGGGGCTGGGAGTCTCAGGAGCTGGGCCACCACCCACTTCCTGACCGTTTGTGGTCAGCCTTGGAAGCATCATGGCGCCCGTGGAAACGCCATTTGGCGTGTTTGTGTATTACAGTGAACGTGCAATGAAGCTCAAGGTCAGGGGGTTGAACCTTCAGTCGCTGTGTCATTCCTTTAATGGCTGTGCCCTGCCTCCTCCCCTCCTATCTCAACAGTGTCCATACTTACTTAAATGAGGTACTCCATAAATATTGTTTCAAATTGAATTGAATTTACGTTGCACTTCTACTGTTCTTTATAATACAGCAGTTTTCTTTTTTCTTTAAAAATGTTGTCATATTTTCTACCCACTTACGTCTCAAAATATCACATTTTTTCTGTTTTGATGTATTTTAATTTTGTAAAACTATATGAAGGGTTACAACATCCTGCCCTTCCACCCAGCATGCTGTCATGTCCCACGAGAGACTTCCTTTCATATCCATGACTTCTGTTAAAATACCTGCAGAAATTAAGAGTGATCTCACTCATTCATTCATTCATCCTTTCATTCAGCCAGCATTTACAGAGCAGCCTTCAAGTGCTGAGGGGTGAATCACAGTCTAGAGAGAGAGAGACTTTATTGTAGACTTTATTCTCCATCTACTAAATAAAACATGAACAATTATGTGATGGTTGGCATAAAAAAAATTAGCAACCAAACCTCACAGTTAGGACCCAGTGTTTTCCTCATTAAAATACAGTACTGAACCACAAAGAGACTCAAACCAATTTTCCTGTTTTACAGTCAAAGAGGACTCCACGAAGGAGATACGTTTCACTGTGGACCTTAAAAGAGGGAAAGGCTTTGGGCTGGCGTTTTGAAGGAGGATCAGTTTTATTTCCAGCAAAGTGAACGTGACGAAGCAGAGAAGCTGCTGGTCATTTCGAGGAAACTTGGGTCATAGAGTGACTGAGGTTGGGGTGAACAGTAGCTAGAAAGCTTGGGAGGGTATGTGGGTGTGTGTCAAGGAAACAATCTATTTATTGTTTATGAACTTCCTCTTTTTTTGTATAAGGAATAGGAAACAAAGGACAGAGAATGTTCTGTGGTGTTGACGCCATAGAAGCCATTCAGTCATCCTTAGATAATCTGCGGAGCTGATAAATGGCGGCTGATGGTGCAGTTCCCAGGATTTCCAGTAAAAGCAAACATCCCTACCAGAAAGAGTTCATTACATGTTAACTGAGTTGATATTTGAATGTTTGATACAAATCCTTCTAAATAACTTCCTTTGGTTCTATTAAAAGAAGCAACTAAATAAGTGTTTTCTGAGCCTCAGAAATAAATTGTTGACTTGATATTGACATTTATATTTTTGTTCAGGAACACAAAGCAAGTAACCCTGTATGTGAATCTTTTCTTGGCTATTTCTGAAACATCTTTTTATTGAGCCCCTGTTAGGTGCTAGTCGTAAGCTAAGAGTTTCCATCGTTTTACCTTTGTTCCTCTTGGCGGCTCCGTCAGCTAATGGTATCATTGACTGTTTACATGTGATCTGTGCGAGGCTCGGGGGGTTAAGTGAGTTGCTCAAGGCTGCAAAGCTAGCCAAGAGCAAAGCCCAGATTTGAGCCCAGTGTTACCTAAGCGTTTGCTGCGCGGTATCGAAGTGGCTCACACCGACTGCTTTTGGGGCAGAGAGTGACTCATTTTTATGGTTCTCTGGGAAGAGGCTTGTCTTTGAGAATCTCAGATCGGAGAGCTCTCCCTTGCCCCTCTTCAGCCTTTTCCTGTCTTTCCTCTTGCCACTGCCTTGGTTCACCACTCTGCTTCTGGCAGATTTGTTTCTAAAAGGAAAATACTGTCCCATTATGCTCCCCATTACCTATAAGTTAAAGTCCGTCCTCTGTAGCATCCTACCCAGAGATTTTATGATATGAGTCTGGTGACCATTGGAGCAATGTCTCCTTTCATACCCCTCTAGCCCTGGCTCTGAAGTCCTAAAGAATTTGCTGGTCTATCCTGTGGCCCTTCTGTCTTGATATCTTTGCCTCTGCCGTTGTCTTGGAGTGGAACCCTTTTCCACAGCTAGACCACCTGGTAAACTCTCTCGTTCTTCAAAAGCTGCTCAAATATCACTTCTCTCTGAAGCATTTTCAAGGACCATCCTACTGTGCTGTCAGCCCCCCTCCTCCTCTCAGCACGGTTTTGAAGGAAGAGGCTTCTCTGAACTACCTTTGCACCTTTTTAATGTTAAATTGCCACTCACTTCATGCCAGTATATTATTCCAGTAACAACTGTGGTCTCATGTAAGTTTCTCAACAGCTGTGGGTGTCTGACCAAATATAAAAAAGAGATTTATGGCCTGGGGCTGTCTAGATTACAGACAAATGAGAGAATTAGGTGTGTTTTCAGATAAGACCCTGACATTTCTGGCCAAGATGTGAAAAAATAAACCATCTTTTCTGTATGTGCTTAAGAAGTTCAGTACCAGAGCTTTATTTGCTGGGAAAGAAAGTCAACTCATGTAACTTTTCTGCGTTTTCAGTACCAGCCGGGGGGGGGGGGGCTCTTCCTTTCAGATGAAAAGACTTCCGGATCGTCAAGACTTTCCCCCCATGAGATGCCCCCCCTCCCTTGCCGAGTGAGTGTGGTGGGGTACTTGCGTGGAAATGAGAACAGTACCTAGTGGTCTCAGACGTTCACTTTTAAGGTGACTCAATAGTGAGCACTTGCTCGAGTGAGTAGGGCTCTGCCTGGAGTTAGAACAGGTCATGATAATAAGGTAGGGGATCATTCGTCCCTCTTCTGCAAATTGTATAAGGAAGAGTCGGGATGATTGTCAGTGGAATTTGTTGAAAATGCATATAGACCTCTGTATATTTTATGGAAATATTTAATTGGATTGTATTTTCATAAAATGCTGAGAACATTTTGTTATATAGAATGCTCATTATGCACCTTCTTAAAGTGTACATTATTTTATTCTGTGTTGGTAATGGTGCAGCAGGTTACCTTGGATTTATTTATAGCTTCAAATAAATGGCCTTTGCAATAATGTGATATTCCAGGTAAGATGACAAAAGTTAGGTGAAAGGAGGAGTGTATTTGTGCAAGGGAAACTGTAAAAATATATTCCTCCTGCTCTGTGATCATTTTGAAAAACAAGGTTAAAAAGAGCCAGTCCTCCTCCTGGTCCTCCTCCTCCTCCGACCCTACTTCTGAAGATAGGGATTCATTTCATCATAAAATTTGCAAGTTTTGTCCCTAAACCTGATGGGAGTTTAGTTAAATTGAGACCGGAAGGAAGAGGGCAGGGCCCATCCACTGAAGGAAGGACACAGCCATTGAGGACAGCGCGAACAGGTTAGGACCAAGATGGCGGAAGACTTGACTTCCAGTGGACCTTGAGCCCATGGCCCCCCCACAGGCGCCATGAAAGTTCCCAGGCCGACCGTAGAAGGTCAAAGAAGTGGACAGCAGCCCAGTTCCTGGAAGTCCCCACTGCTTCCCCAAAGTAGTTGGAATAACCCTCCCACTCGTTAGCATATGAAATTACTGAGCGCATAAAAACTGACAACTCTGCACCTTATGGCTCTTCTCTCTCTCTTTCTTCTGAGACGGCCCGCCACTCTGTCTGTGGAGTGTGTATCTACTTTTACTTTAAACTAAACACCCCGCACCTCTAGGCCTCTCTCCCTCTCACCTTCTGAGCTGGCCCACATTCTGTCTATGGAATTTGTATCTCCTAAGCCACTCTCCCTTCTGAGTGAGACAGACCCAGCTCTGTCCATGGAGTATGTATCTCTCTAAATAAACTTGCTTTCGCTTTACTATGCCTTGCTCTTTTTTTTTTTTAGTTGAGGTATAGTCAGTTTACAATGCTGTGTCAGTGTCTGGTGTACAGCACGATGCTTCAGTCATACATGAACAACATATATAACAACATATATTCGTTTTCATTCTTTATCACCATGAGCTACTACAAGATATTGAACGTATTTCCCTGTGCTCTACAGTTAAACTTGTTTGTCTATTTTATATCTACCTGTCAGTATCTGCGAATCTCAAACTCCCGGTTTATCCCTTCCCACTCCCCTCCCCACTGGCAACCACAAGTGTGTATTCTATGTCTGTGAGTCTGTTTCTGTTTTATATATAAGTTCATTTGGCTTTTTTTTTTTTTTTGCCTTGCTCTTCAGTTCTTTTCTGTGCAAGAGAAGAACCTATTCTTTGGTAACAAAATAAGTCTATTTCCAGTTCTAGAAGAGGGCAGTGTCAATAAAACATGGGTTTTAATATCTATAAGATCCCTTTACTAGGTAACTATATCTTGTAAATATCAATTGGCAATAAGTTTCTGGATAGTGAATGCGGTTATCATGATCTCTCTTATAATTGCTAATTATTCAAAGTATATCCCTGACCAGAGTCCAGTTTCCTGGGTTTTTTTTTGACTAGAATGAGAGCTTAGTGATAGAAAATTACAGATAGAACAGCTACAACAAAGAACTGTAGTAGTAGAAATTTAGGCTCTATGAATAAATTGACTAGAAGTTAAGAGTGAGACAGATGAAAACCCAAACTGTGAATATTATATCAGGGACTATAGAACCTAATCATTGAAAGGGACATACATTCAGGGTCACTTATTTCCTGGTGCCAGAAATGGGAATCATTTTTTTTTAATTATAAATTCCTGGAATCTATCCTGAGACATCAGGTTTAGTAAATTTGAGTTCAGTGAGAAGCGGCTAGTCCCGTCTGACACTCCAGTTTGGGGATATTTTGATTTTTTATGAAGACTTTTTTATTGGCTCCAGCAATTGTGCTGGATCTTTTACAATCAGATTCTTCTGTTTGCTTCAGCGCTGTCCTAGAAGTTTGTTCTTTCAGTGAGCCAGCATCTCCTTCCCTAGAATTACCACTCATTGGTTCTGGTTTTGTCTCCTGTAGCCACAGAAAATGATGAGTAGCAGTTAAATTTGCATTTCTTTAGTTACTGGAGAACATGCATTCCTATGTATATTAGACTCTTAGCTTTGGGTTAATGTTTTTTACTAGTAGTTGAATTTTTTAATGATTTTTGAGAACTCTGTATATTAAGGCTATTAACCCTTTGTCTCATATTAGCATGCATATTTTCCCAATTTGTAATTGGTCATTTATTGATTTTGTATGTAGATGTGAGGGAGGTGTGCCTAAGTACGTGTGCTGCCAAATCTCCAGGGAACATTTAAGCTCACTCCTAGCTTTGTACCATACAGAAATTTGGCAGGTGTGACATTTCTATACAAGATCCTACAGTAAAAATGCAAAAACTATACTAAAACCCCCCAAACCCTATACCTCTATAGAAACGGGAGAGCTTGCCAGGCTACAAAGGACATTGACTATTGAAGGGAAATTCCAGTCCCTTTGTTCAAATTAATCCTCTCTGGTTTTTATTGTAAGGTGTACTTTGCCTTTGAGTGCTCTGTGTGGTCCTTTTTAAAAGGAGAAAATGTCATTGTGCCTCACATTGTTAAGCCTCTGGCAGGCAGAGACTGTGAATTTGTTTGCTTATTTAGAACAGGAAGCTTTTTTCCCCCTTTTCTCTATTTTCTTTTTGGTTTTCTTTTGTAGCTTAGTAACCAAAACTCATCCTGAGACCTGCCTTTAAATTGCTTTCAGCCACCTTGGGCGTGTTTTGGAGTTTTATTCCGCCTCTCCCCCTTCTGGGGCCTCTTCTCCGGAGGTGGGACTAATGAGGTCATTGTGTTGCAAAACCTGTGGCTGAGACTTTGCTCACGACTAACCCCAAATGCCAGTTTGGTCAGGAAAAGACCTCCCCCCCAAAACCAGAATTCTAGTCCTCACAAGACACTAGAGCCAGCATTGCTCTTCTCTCATCAAAGCTAGGTCTAGGCTGCAGTTGAAATTTGGTTATTTTAAAAATGAGTTACTTGGACACGGCCATAGTAAACTGCTTAAGCCCAAAATGCTGCATTAGGCCTAGAATGTTCTCACTGATGGGCCAAATACAAGTCTGGTTGAATAATTACCAAGTTTCAATCATACAGAACCATTATTTCAGCCATTCAAGTCAGGAGGGTGATACCATCACGTATTTCAGCCACGACCGCCATATTTGCTTTCTTCATAAAGTGGGCTGTCCTGTATGTCTGCGCTTCCTTCTTCCTTCATGCCAACAAGGCAGTAAATTTAAGAGGAAGGAATTACTGATGGGCAGTGGGGGTGTGCACAGAGGATGAAGCTCCCTTCTCTTTCTGTCCCCTCTCTCATTCTCCTTTCCTGGACAATAGTTAGAGTAAATAACTGGAGAATGAATGACCTGCAAAGCAACTTGACACCTGCTGGGAGTCACTGGAGTAGCAACCAATAGCTGTAAAGTCCTTCCGGTCTCTGTCCCACCAGTGCCCTGGAGGGGACAGTGTTCTGTCTTCTTAATTTCTCCCCGAGTTGGCTTACGCGGCCTTTCTCTCCCAGTGGAGGGCGGGGGGTATTCAGGAGGAAGAGGGAAGTGATACGAGTCTTAGAGCAGTGCTTAGGCCACGCAGCTTGGCAGGTAAAATGCTCTGGTCTCTCCTTCTCTGCCAAACTAGTAAATAATAGACGGGGAAGCACCAGTGTGAACTGTGGGAGGACCATAACGTCTGTCATTCGGTAGGAGGCGTTCATAAATACTAATCGTGATGTTGATCGGCCTATTGCTGACGGGCAGAGGCAAAGGCTGTCTGCGGGCCCTCCCTGCTCCTACTGGAAGGCAGATGTCAGGGGGGAGTTGCAGGAGCTGGGAAGCCGGAGGCGGGCTGAGATGTTCTCTCCGTGTATCTGAGGGAGAAAAAAACATGATTCTTACAGTTTTAGTTACAGTAGGGTCATTTCAAGCTTTCCTGTTGGTGAGCCTGGAATTAGGTCAGCTTTGGGGTAGGATCTTCTGAGAGAAACAGCAATAAAGATTTCCGGCGTTTGTTGACGCTCTTGATTAATTCAAACCTGCGTAGTTTGACATTGTAAGTTCTCTTTTCTTCCCCTCTCTCTGGATGTGTATGTACACGTGTATTTTTAATGGTTCGTGTGGCTCAGTTTCCATGGCCATCTAATGCAGGTTCCTTCTGTTGGGAAAAGGGCTGTCTCCCCCTACCTTGTTTTGCTTTGGTTTGTTTTTCCCTTTTATAACTCACCGCAGCTCTCGGGGTGACGGCCTTAACCAATGATCTTTTCAGCAGTCATTTTGACCTAGTCCTGTAGTGTTTTCATGGTACTCTTTGCTCTTCTAGGTTTGCTGTGGAATTTGTCTTCCAATGACAGACTGAAGAATCTCATGATAACAGAAGCCTTGCTCACCCTGACCGAGAACGTCGTCATCCCCTTTTCGGGCTGGCCGGAAGGAGACTACCCCAAAGCGAACGGCTTGCTCGACTTTGATATATTCTACAACGTCACGGGATGTCTAAGGTAATGGCCCTCTGCAGCAAGGCCCCTCGGCCTTTACTCTGTACACCTTACAGGCTGCATCCTGATCGGTCTAAAACGCCACGCCAGTACCTGGCGATACTGTGAGAATTGTAAAGATCACTTCAACACTAGAAGCACAATGCAGAGACAGTGAGAAAGGTCAAATAGCTACAGAGTATTTTTCCGAGACATGTTTGATTCCAGAAGCTACCCCCATCAGCTCAGGGGAGAGAGGGTGTGTCATTTCCACCAGAGAAACCAGAAGGCCAATCCGAGCACCTACAATTCTATGCAGACTGGCCTTCCCTGTCTCACAGGGCCTAAGCCAGGTTCCATGCTGGTTTTTAATTCACAAAAATATCATTTAATGACAAGGTTAAAAGATAGTTTTGAACCTGGTGTTTTTAAATAGGCAGCAAATCCTAAACAGACAGATTGTCTTTCCACAGGAACAGCTACAGAAGAGGTTAGTTTGATCAGCGTTTCTAAATATTGGGATGAAAAATGCTTGAAATGTTTTCTTCCCTGGGCTATCAGATGCCAGCTAAACCAAGAGGAAATAGAAGCAAGGAAGAAATGCTAGTCTTAGCTTCTCTAGGATCATGCATATCAAGCTTTCTTACGTGTATTTAAAAATAATCATGTCCTTTATGTCCAGGGATTGAAAGAAACCAGATAGATGTGTAATCAAAATTAGGCAGCCCGAAAGAAGTCCGGAATATATTCTGCCTTTTGATCATTTCTCTAGTTGCACTCGCTACAATCTCTAGTCTTACTTTTTGAGGGAATCTGTTTGGATGATAACTGAGGGAATTTATTATGGTAAGATGTCTGTCTTATCTCCACAGAAATGCATATGAAATGCCAATGTTTTATAAAGCGTTAGGCTAGCCGCTAAGAGTTTTACAAAGCTGGAAATAAGAGAATTCTTAAGGAACCTTGCATCTAGCAGGGGATGCAGATGAGCAAACAAACAAGGATACAGTGAAACGTGTTAGTGGTTCTCAAAGCATGGCCCCTGAACTTGTTAGAATTCTCGAATTTCACCCCAGACCTACTAAATCAGAAACTCTCAGGGTGGAGCCCAGCAATCCAGGTTTAACAAGCCCTCTAGGTGACTGGTGGCTGCTGAAGTTTGAGGACCACGTGTCCGAGGTACCAGTAAATTGCTGCAGGAATGCAGAACGAAGGACTGTTCGTGCCAGCTAAGTGGGACCAGAGGTGCCAGATGAGCTGGGCCTTGCTTGGACAATGGCAGTACTCAGACTAGATCTCCAAACAGTCTCCCTTGAAATGTGTCTTCTGTCCATTCCATTGGAACTGCTTTTCTAACATATTTTTGATTCATAAAAACATGCTGATCCATTTAAGAACACTTTGCCTCTCAAAATTTTTCTGTAGCCCCCATTGCCTTACCAGGTGCAACAGAGTAATGTATTAACGTGGCAGATAGTTCTGTCAGGGCTCCTTCCGTTGAAAATGGCAGAAACACAACTCAGACTCCCTTAAGGGTCCTGTGGCTGAGATGTTGACCGTCCCTTGTGGCAATGAAAGAAGTGCACCAGGAACCATGGCCTCGAGGACGGGGACAGAAATTCAGTGTCCCTGGGACCTGGACTCTCTGTTTACAGACGTACCTCGGAGATAATGCGGGTTTGGTTCCAGACTGCTGCGATAAAAGGAATTATTGCAGCAAAGCAAGTCACACAATTTTTTTTGGTTTCCCAGTGCACATAAAAGTACGTTTACATTATGTTGTAGTCCATTATGTGTGCGTTGGCACTGAGTCTCTCAAAGTCAACATACATACATACGTTAAAAAATAACGTTGTTGCTGAAAAACGCTAACCATCACCTAACAACACAGGGTTGCCACAAACCTTCAGTTTGTTAAAAAAAAAAAAGAAAGAAAGAAATGCAATATCTGCGAAGCTCAATAAAGCACAGCACGAGAGGTCGAGGTGCGCCTGTACGTCTCGTCTCTGCCTCCTCGCTATCTTTTGTACATGGGGCTCGCTCGCTCCCAGCGCCAGCAGGCCTCCCGCACGGAGCAGGCCCCGGCCGCCGGGCGGCCCTTGCTCAGCCGCCCCGCAGAAAAGGCTCGCCGCTTGCTCGTCGGTCTCAGGGAAGGTTGAAGCCCGGCCGTGCTTCTGAGAGGCACATCCTTTGAGCCCCTGCCCCCGGGATGGGCCAGACCTGCATCAGATCCTTGCTTCACGGCAAGGATGGCAGCAAAGTCTGTTAAAATAACAAGAGGGAGGGGAACACTGGCTGGGCAAACAGAACAGAAACAGGAGACACCTTGCTCAGTGCCAGCGCGTACAACCTTTCAAGTCTCTCCACAACCTTCCTCACAACCTTATTTCCCGTTTTCCCGCAAACATACTTCATACCCACCAAAGTGCTTAACTTGCCTAGGTGGCCTAGTCAAGGTGTTTTATATACTCAAGACGTTATTCTGTTTTATTGCCTGATGAACATTTTCTGTCATCTGCCTATTGAATGACTTAATCTCCTAATCATTTCACACCAAAGATAAAGTCCACCTTTTCTGTAGAACATTTTTCTGCCTCCCCAGGCAGGAGCCATTACTTGTTTTTAAGAATTCACACAGGCCTCTGTAGGTACGCCTCCTCCGTACGGATTTGGTGTCACATTATTGCTTTTATGATGAGTTATTTACATACCTGTTTTACTAAATTGTGAACTTTTTAAGAGCTAAGCCTATGTATTTTTAAATCTCTAATTCCTAGCACCTAGCAAAGTTTCTGGGATATAGTTAGCAAATGTAAAGTATTTGAGTGAAATGAATGAATGAATGAGTGGGCAAGCGAAAGTCCATGATAAGTTAGGTGGATAGTCAAGTCTGGCAAGGCATCAAATCTTTTTTTAAATTTTATTTTATTGAGTTATAGTCAGTTCACAATGTTGTGTCAATTGCCAATGTAGAGCACAATTTTCAGTCATACATGAACACACATGTATTCATTGTGGCATACTTTTCCAAGGCAAGGTATCTAATTTGTGATGGAAAGTAATCAAACAGAAGTTGCAGACTTAAGCTAGGGCCAGACTGTGAGGGCCTCAAAAGTAATGTTAAAGAGTTAATTTTTATTCCTTCCTTTTCTTTTTTTTTTTTTAATTATTGCAGCATAATGAATATAAAATGCTAGTTAACCAAAGACACCTTTATTTTTGTCTTCAAAGAACAAACTGTTCTTCTCCCAAGATAACCATGATTAACTTACAAAAATGGGCATTTACAATGCATCTTCAAAGCATTTGCCTATAATGGGAAGTTTGGCTTCACAGACTCCAAACATTAAAAGGTTTTTTAAAAAAATTCTACTTAAACTTCTTTCAGGAGCAGAATATAGCAAAAGAAAATCTGGGAAATTGAGCATCATAGTATTTGCTTACTGAAATGTCTGTTCTCATTCCATCTGTGTATCTAAGTTATAATAATAGCCAACATTTATCGTGTTGTATGCTCTGCAAACCATTCAGAATGCATTGTGGGGATTTCCTCTCGCTGCCTTCTTCCCCGGGCTGCCAGGTGCCAAGAGGAGACAGCAGGGAAGAAACACGGCAGAGGGAGTGTGCTCTCACAGCGACTCCTATAAAGTAGACTTTCCCAGTGTAGAGATAAGGAAACGGGGGCTCAGAGAGGTGAAGCGATTTCTCAACATCACACAGCTAGTAAGAGACAAAGCTAGAATTCTAATATCAGGAGCCTGTCTCCAAAGCCAAAGCTCTTCATCGGCACGCTGATACGTTAATATTAGTCACATGTCTACAGGCTGTTGTGGCAAAGCCTCTGCCCTTCACCTCTCACAGCCTCACGGGGTCAAGGAAGGCAATTTACAGCCGTGTTCAGGTCTCATCATGGGCATTGTATCTGGGTGTCAGTGTTTTTTCTGGTTTTTTTGTTGTTGTTGTTTTTAGTGAGTTCTGTGTAAGTGGAACTCTGCACTGCACTTCATAAAAACAGAGAAGATACAAAGCCCATGAGATGGGAGGTCTCTTCAAGGAAGGGGGTGCTTCGCAGACATCTCCAGGGTAGATGTCACATGAGTTTCCTACTTCGTGGTCAGTAAGATGTGAGTCGGAATGCAAAAAACCTACAGAGAACCTGCAATCAGATAGTCTCAATTTCCATGACATTCGAGCTCTCTTGTGAAGAGCTGCTGATTTATGACTCCTGGTTACTCAAAAAGAATTTTAAGACAGGTGTTGACTAGTTCTAATAAGAGTGGCTCTGAACTGCATTAAAAGTCATCAAGTTAGCAAGTATCTTTCTTCATCGCTGCAAGTTCTCTGGAGGTATTGTCCCCCCCCCCACTGGGTGTAGAGCTGGCAATGAATTGGCAACATGACAGGTATTTTTGGCTTTGTTGTTGACTTGGGTTAGTGTAGCTAAATTCCTTCCATCTACTTCGGAGTAAAACTTCTACATACACCAGTGACTTTGTCCCTTGACTGATTTGACAGTGAGATCAGGTCTGAGAGGGACTTCCCCCGTCTTTAATCAGCAGTGGTACAGGGTACATCCCTACAGGTAAAATGTTGGCTTCATTAACAGACTTGTGACAGTGAACTCCAGTTCATAATGAATAATAAAAGCCAAGGAGAGGAAAAATAAATTGATACACAGTTTGTGCTAGAGCCAGCAAGAGCAGCTGTCACGTTCTCTTCGTACCTCCACGGGCAGTGACATCATGTTGGTAGCTTCAAGTCAGCCATGATGGGAGTATTTACACCACAGAAATTGGCAAACGCTACAAACCTGAGCCCTCCCGACTCCCCCGTCCCCAGAAAGCTGGTTGTCAAATCAGCACACCACTGGCTCTGAACTTCCATTAGTTGATTAACATCAGGATGTGGATAATTAGGGTAAAAAGTCGTATTTCTCCTTATACATCCCTTTCCAAAGAAGAAATAGTTCCTTTGAAGGAAACCTTGGAAGGGAATGTGAAGTTTCAGCCTTCCCCACCCCCTCC